AAAAAACCAAGTAGTACAAATAGCAACTTGTATATAAAAATTATATGTACTCCTTTCCCATTGCTGTTTATTGCTGTCTGATAAGAACAAACATAGGTTCTACTGATGTCAACAGGGAGAGCTGCTGCAGTACAATTTATTCGAGATGAGCGATTATTGTGGGTTTTACATGAATAGACGAGCTGTAGGTGCATTTATGAATTTGGATGTCTTTATACAGCAATTGAGTGTGGTGGCTAGAGTCTGGCTTCTCTGTAACACTGGATCCAGTACTTACTAGCTATGTAATCTCAGACACTCATCTGAAAAATGGAGATAAATAATCACATTAACAACCTCATAGATTGTGATGAGGTCTAAGCGCATTAAAGTAAAGCACTTGGAACAGTGCCTGGCGCAGAGGAAATGCTCCACAAATGTCGCCTATTGTTTTCACTCTATTAGGGCCCTGGGCTTTTAGCCAAATAACTAAGCACAATAATATTGAATCTCATAGGCACAGGGGAGAATTTTCGTCAGAGAAGGTATATGAAGTACAGCTGAGGGGGTCTGGGAATTTAACACCACATTTATTGTCTTTAGGGCTGAGTTGCAGTTAGGGTGCTGAGAAACATATTAATTTTCAATTAATTTTAGGATGTAACGTTTACTCCGGCGCAGTTAACAAATAAAACAGTAAAAACAATAGTTGATAGTTTTCCTGTATGTTAGCTTCCTGCAGACCTCTTTTCAAACGATACATTTGGCTTTTTACATAAAGATATTTTGTCTTAACCTAGCTGTGATGAACTAAAGAAAGAGATGGTAGAGTAGGAATAGCTGATAGAAGCTTTTACTATGTGGAAAACCTCGGCAAATCTCCATAGTGTTATTAATAGGCCAGTAATCAACACACTTTCAGGCTTTATGTTACACTTGGAGAAAAACAAGAGTATGACATCTTGACTTCCTCGCTTGGTAATTTAAAGCCGAGTTATAACGTGAACACCAGCTGTACATATCATGTTACTTGAATTCAGCATCAATTAAAATTGTAAATGAGCCTGGTTATAAGTTAACTTTAAAAGCTGATACTACTCAAAACAAGCCTCCACATCAACAAAATAGTATGAATAGTGCCATAAATATTCTAAATTCTGATTTTTAAAACATTTTAAATTGAGTTCCCCTCTATTCAGATGATTCTAATAAAGCTAACACACAGATGTTCCTTTAGATGTTAGGAAGGGTTATTCTCATGAGAAAACCGTATCAAGTGGTTGCAACTTTTGAATAGCACAATCTCAGGAACAGAAAGTGGGGCAGCACCAAAACCTTAAGTGTGTGGAGTCTCTAGTGTCCTCTGTATAGAATTTCTACTGATGTCATCCTTTAGAAGTTACCTGGTTCCATTTTTGCTTTGCTTTTGTTATTGTTGTTCTCTGAGATAGGATCTTGCTAGGTGCCGCAGCCCGGCCTTCTGCCTCAGCTTCCCCAATGTTGGGATTGCAGGCATGCACCACCACCACCCGCACTGTACTATTAAAAAGAAAAAAAATTATAACTTGAAAAGCGGCATTATTCCAAGGACAGTGGTCCAGTTGGCCTATTTCTGATGGCTATTAGCCAATAAAAACCGATCTCCTTCTGCTTCTGGGGAAAATAAGCAACAATGAAACGTAATGATTTTGGAGCATACTTCAACGGCCAGGACAGCCAAGAAGACCCAAGATAGTAAAGCGCCGAGTCCCGCCTTCTCCACAACGCCCCGCCCC